GTGAACAACGGCTCTGTGTAGTTAATGCTGCTCAATGTGAAAGCACACAGGTGATGGAGATTTACCGCTGATTACAGAACCAACTTTACTGATAAGATGCACGTTAAATATCGTATGCGATTTATCGTGCAGCCCTATATATAGGCTATTAATATTCCCTCACTGGGGGCTGAGCCCCCCTAAAATGAAAATCCTAGAATCGCCCCTGTTCACACACCTTCCACATCATCATTTGCAAGGATGTCATATTTGCTGCTATTTTCTCCAACTTCTCCTTCATCTTCCTCATCACTGTCCAAAGAGTGTTTCTCCTTAAATCTGGATCCTGGGCCACTCACACCATCAACAATCTGGAAAAAGACATTGGATAAAGCAGAAAAGAGCATGAGAGAATTCACAGTACTGCAAAATCTACTACATCAGAATAACAATATGCATGGTAATAACAGGACACTTTCACAACATCTATTTAAATATAAAGAGTTATAAGAAGCCGACCTTCTTCTTTGGAGCATCTTCCAAAGTGATCTCCCCATCTCCATCCTCAAACGTCACTTTCCTTTTCGACATGCTAAAAGAGGCATAAGACATGTGTACGGTGTACTCATCCGAGTATTCTGTGAAAGTTTTATGCTCTAAACATAATGCCGAGACTCCATAACAAATCGAATTAATGAAACCTGTACACATGGAGTGGTGTTGAATTTAAAGACAATTAGAGAGACTTAACAGGAAACCAAATTTATAGCAGCTGACTAGAGGGCACATAACTGCATGCCCACATAGTAAACTCCATATAAAATGAGATATTAAAGCATTAGGTCTATAATTAATACACATCTACAAAATCTCAACAATATATAATAGAACACAACCTAATTTTGGTATCACATTTAATAGTATTTACACCACTGCTGCGCAATGCGCCGAGCTAATGCTGCGAGCGTCCGTGCGGAGCGTGTGCCAGCTAACGTTAGCTAACGCAAGTTATTCAAAAGCCATATAAAATAAACTTCAGCTCGACCGAGACAGACGCTTAACAGACTGGTCAGCTATAAACTAATAGTAATAAGGTAGAAACACATGGTACAATATTTAGTTACCTGGATGTTATTCTCCCCGCTGCGCCATTCAAGCCAACTAAAAAAAACCGGAACAACGTCATTCGTGAGATTCTGGCCAGGTCGCCACCTGGAGGTGAACCGGATCATTCTTCTTCTTCTTCTTCTTCTTCTTCTTCTTCTTGCTATTTATTGGCGGTTGAGAAACAACAAAATGGTGTATTTCCGCCACCAACTGGTATGGAGTGTGGATCAAAATGACACTGCTATTCCTTCAGTTATTTTGTAAAATACATCTCAGTGTACATTGCATTTTTATTTTGTCTAAATGTTGCATTAGAATCCTTCTTTCTGTCTCGTATTTACTTTGAATTCTGTAAAACCACCGACCTTTTTTCTCCTTATCCCAATGTTTTTGCCACCTTCCCTTCAGTCTTTTCTTAATAATACTCTTGATTTCATTCTTACTTAGATTAACAAATTAAGTTAATGTCGTTGTTTTTAACTGCTTCTTTTGCTTCTTTATCTGCAGTTTCATTTCCTTGGATACCAATATGCGCCGGCACCCATACAAATACTAGCCTACTGTAATCCCCATCATTTGAATTCTATATAACGTTTGCATTATTTCCATTAAAATGTCTGGTCTACTTTCCGAGAGACTGTATTGTAAACTAGCCAATGATGAACATGAATCTGTACAAAAATAACTGATTTCAAAGGTCTTATCTCTTCTATCCACTGTATTGCTAGTAATAGTGCAATCATTTCCCCAGGTGAACCGGATTAATGACGCCCACTGCGATTAAAGCACTTCTGTGACCTCACGTCCATCACTTGATCTGCTTGAAGATTTGACAAAAACCTCCTGTTTTACGCTTCCAAATGATTGTTCTGTTATTATTGTTTATGTTACAGTTAACACTAGCTTGTATGCTTCCCGGGAACATCTCACTCTTTGGATACCTTCATCTTCCTCATCACTGTCCAAAGAGTGTTTCTCCTTAAATCTGGATCCTGGGCCACTCACACCATCAACAATCTGTAAAAAGACATTGGATAAAGCAGAAAAGAGCATGAGAGAATTCACAGTACTGCAAAATCTACTACATCAGAATAACAATATGCATGGTAATAACAGGACACTTTCACAACATCTATTTAAATATAAAGAGTTATAAGAAGCCGACCTTCTTCTTTGGAGCATCTTCCAAAGTGATCTCCCCATCTCCATCCTCAAACGTCACTTTCCTTTTCGACATGCTAAAAGAGGCATAAGACATGTGTACGGTGTACTCATCCGAGTATTCTGTGAAAGTTTTATGCTCTAAACATAATGCCGAGACTCCATAACAAATCGAATTAATGAAACCTGTACACATGGAGTGGTGTTGAATTTAAAGACAATTAGAGAGACTTAACAGGAAACCAAATTTATAGCAGCTGACTAGAGGGCACATAACTGCATGCCCACATAGTAAACTCCATATAAAATGAGATATTAAAGCATTAGGTCTATAATTAATACACATCTACAAAATCTCAACAATATATAATAGAACACAACCTAATTTTGGTATCACATTTAATAGTATTTACACCACTGCTGCGCAATGCGCCGAGCTAATGCTGCGAGCGTCCGTGCGGAGCGTGTGCCAGCTAACGTTAGCTAACGCAAGTTATTCAAAAGCCATATAAAATAAACTTCAGCTCGACCGAGACAGACGCTTAACAGACTGGTCAGCTATAAACTAATAGTAATAAGGTAGAAACACATGGTACAATATTTAGTTACCTGGATGTTATTCTCCCCGCTGCGCCATTCAAGCCAACTAAAAAAAACCGGAACAACGTCATTCGTGAGATTCTGGCCAGGTCGCCACCTGGAGGTGAACCGGATCATTCTTCTTCTTCTTCTTCTTCTTCTTCTTCTTCTTGCTATTTATTGGCGGTTGAGAAACAACAAAATGGTGTATTTCCGCCACCAACTGGTATGGAGTGTGGATCAAAATGACACTGCTATTCCTTCAGTTATTTTGTAAAATACATCTCAGTGTACATTGCATTTTTATTTTGTCTAAATGTTGCATTAGAATCCTTCTTTCTGTCTCGTATTTACTTTGAATTCTGTAAAACCACCGACCTTTTTTCTCCTTATCCCAATGTTTTTGCCACCTTCCCTTCAGTCTTTTCTTAATAATACTCTTGATTTCATTCTTACTTAGATTAACAAAATAAGTTAATGTCGTTGTTTTTAACTGCTTCTTTTGCTTCTTTATCTGCAGTTTCATTTCCTTGGATACCAATATGCGCCGGCACCCATACAAATACTAGCCTACTGTAATCCCCATCATTTGAATTCTATATAACGTTTGCATTATTTCCATTAAAATGTCTGGTCTACTTTCCGAGAGACTGTATTGTAAACTAGCCAATGATGAACATGAATCTGTACAAAAATAACTGATTTCAAAGGTCTTATCTCTTCTATCCACTGTATTGCTAGTAATAGTGCAATCATTTCCCCAGGTGAACCGGATTAATGACGCCCACTGCGATTAAAGCACTTCTGTGACCTCACGTCCATCACTTGATCTGCTTGAAGATTTGACAAAAACCTCCTGTTTTACGCTTCCAAATGATTGTTCTGTTATTATTGTTTATGTTACAGTTAACACTAGCTTGTATGCTTCCCGGGAACATCTCACTCTTTGGATAGAGAAAAAACTCTTTATTGTAGGCTAAATATAGTGCGTCTCTATGAAAACTAAATACAAAAAGGTGCATTTGAGAAGCAGAACAGCAGAAACTGTGCAAAAACCACCACTATGCAAATGTACTGTTCTGATATAGTTTCTAGTAAATATTTGATGAGAGCCTGAATTAGAAACATGAATCAGTAATATGCAGAGTACGTTATCTGTTTTTATATATTTATAAGTTTATACTTCCCTCATTTTTTTTGTCCATAAATAAATGCATTAATCGGGGCTGTGAAAGCGCACATGTCGCTGCTGTTTCATCATGAAGTCTAAAGAGAATAGGGCATCGGCTTTTGTTACCAGGAAGTGGGTCGCGTTATTTATATTTCAACACTTGCAAGACCGGCGTGAGGGCGCGCGCTGGTAATACGAAACTTCTAATATCATTCTGTTCTTTACGCGATTTGCCGGGATTGAGGAGCTTGGCCTGAAGTGATGTTTTGCCACTAAGGTTGTATGTAATCCACGATAAATCAACGGAAATACGTCGACAAAAGTAAATTGTTGCACCTGACAAACGCTGAGTCGTTCTGTCACTGTTCCGGTCACAATTCTTTGCCACTTTTGTTTATCCTTTTATAAAGCGCATATTGCTGCTTCAAGAAGGACACAATATTTACGTGGCACTATATTTGTGGCTGACTAGCACGCTGACAGACACAGCATGAACCGGAGAGACAAGTTATTCACGTATGATTTCATACTTAAAAAAAATAAAAATAAAATAAATAAATAATGACTATGGCAAATTTGATTTATCCATGGGTTTTAATTTCTGTTCATGTAAAGCTCGATCGCCCTGTGATCGCGCCAGGACACGGCTGCACGCCAGGTGGCGTTGTAATGAAGATCCATGAAAAGATTCTAACCCACTACCTGTCCTGCACTTCACCTGTAGATAAAGAGGGATACCTCTACAAAAAGGTAGGTACCTGGATTTGTCAATTTACCCACATAATATTAAAAGTAATCTAGAATGCTAGTTTGGATAAACTGACTCATTCTAACCAGTTTAGAGAGTGTTGTGAGTGTCAGATTTGTTTACGATGCAAGTGCTTAGGAAAGTGAAGTACATTATATCTGAGACATCGTATCTTCTTCATGATGCATTACAGACTTTACCTTCAGGATCCTTGTATAGATCCCTTCATGCAAAAACAAATAGATTTATATTTTCTTTGTTTGTTTCAATTTACCTGCTCAATTCAAATTGGAAAATGTACATTTTTAGGTTATTGTACAACATCAAATAAATGGTAAAAGTAAAGATAATAGTGGCAAGCAGGACTATATGATTTGGTAATTAAATGGTTATTTTAAATGATCTCTAATAATAATCTGTTCAATTACCAATATTTCAGAACAAACTAAAAATAAACCACCCTCCTATCTGTAAATTTTACCACGGGAGAAACAGAGTTGTTACACTTATTTGATAGACACTTATAAAAGCAGCCTTTGAGCCATTTCTTTATTAGTGACATTAATTCAGGTTCAGAAAATATCAGTCTTCTGTGCATTACAACAAAATGTTTTCACATCTCCAGTGTTTCTCTGTCCTGTACATTCTAGAATAATTTTCTCCCTCTTTAAATGAGTCGTAATTGCAATGACTTCCTTATCCTACCTGTGTTTGAACTATTACCATATTTCTTTTCTGCAGAGAGAGAGGAACACCACTTACCTGTGCCGCTGGTTTGTGTTGAAGGGGAATCTGCTGTTTTATCAGGAGCGTCCAGGCGATCGTATCCTGCTGGGTGTGATTGTTCTGGAGGGCTGCCTGGTGCAGGCGTGTGAGACAGATGGTCAATTCTGTTTCTCTTTGGTGTTCACTGGACCAGTCCTCCGCACATATAGACTAGCCGCTGATGACCATCTCAGCCAGGAGAGCTGGATCGGTGCACTGTTCTGTGCTAGTCACTTCTACCTTTCCATGATTGTCAGAGACCTGGAGAGACGCTACGAAGGTGAGTTTATGTATATGTGTTTTCTGTGTCTACTGGCTTGAACACAATTAACATGTCTGATTGAAGTTTTACATGCTCTTAACAAAACAGAAGCTAGAAGAGACAAAGGCCTTTGTGATTCCATCCAGACCTCTGCAGTGACTTCTACACCCAATAAGATAATGGCTTCCTGGAACACAGGACAACCCTATTTCCTACATGGGACTTCCATAGTGCCTAGAGATGGGCGGAGCTACAGCACCAGTTCTGTACCACCTCCATCTATGCCGAACAGACCCATCAGCTATAGTCTTCATGCCCCTCCTATTCAATTCAAGACTACCAATAAGCGATCTCCAAAGCTCTGGCCCAAGACAAATGCCCATGTCACACCCTTAAATGGTCCGGCACCATCTTTTGGGAAGTGGCCTGTTGTGGGCTTTGATCCTTTGGAAGAGTTTAGTAAAATGCATGAGTACTATGGAAATGAGATTAAGCAACTAAGAGCTGATTGGCTGAGGAAGAAGCGTGAGTAAGTGGGATACATTGAGGAAGACCTCATTGACCTTGGCTAGAGTAGCATCTGAACCTATCACATATGTATTTGTTCATGTTGTCGTCTAAATAGTAAATCTTGTTCTAAACAATAGACTGATGAATGTATTAAAGATGCAGTAAATGTAATATTGCAGTAGTAGAATCCTGCTGTCTTTTTAATTTTATGAAGGTAGGGTTGAGCGATGTCTACCAAATTGGCATTGGACGATGTCTACAGTGAAACATCGTGATGGATGATGACATCGGGGGGGAATCCATATGCAGAAAGGCATGGAAAACAAATAACGTGTTCTACGTTGTTCTTGTCTAACAGGACAATGGCGAATGATTTGCAGATACTGAGCACCACTGACAAATATCTAATCTTGTAAAATGTGTGTGGTAGGTAAGGCCGCTCCGTAGTATAGAGTCCGTGTGATCGCGAATCTCGAAATTGAAAGTAAAATGAGAGCGCGCATTTGAAAGCGGTTTCAATGCCCTGCATATTAGTAGCGGCTCCCTGATGCCTGCAATTTATATACAGTATAATTACCCAACGATATAATTGCGAGAGAAAGTATTGAAATATTTTTTTATCCTCCCATCTCGTAGGCTATTTATTCCCTTTAGGGGTTCCGTAGTACACTTAATTTCCTTTCCGAACACGGAATTGGGATGCGGCGGATTGCGGGGGGTATGGGGGGGATCACGATGCCGGCTCAACATCGTGATGTCTGCCAGCCATCGGCGATGGACGATGACATCGTCTATCGGCCCAACCAAGGTATGCAGATTAGCACTGACTGACACCGATCTTGTGCGTTTCTCATTTCCTCTCTGTGGTCTCTCAGCCTAGTTCCTTCTCGCTTGAATTGTCATAAAACAGACCCAAAACACCAGTAGCTTTACCCCCAGCATTTAACCTAACTACGTGCAGACATTTACAATGGCAAAATTTCTTATTGGATCCAAAGTATTTCATATACGTTCAAATGAAGTTTGATTAGAGATTACATATTAGTTGTAGAGCTGTGAATGCTCGATAATAATTAATATTTAATTTATTGTTAGATCTTTTAAAATGTACTGAGGGAGCCTAATCACTAATGTGATCTCGTGAAGAGGGCAACACAAGTGACTGTTTAGTTCTAACTTGCAGAACTTAATTCACACAGTTCAGGAGGCTTCGTAAACAAACTTAAATACACGCCCCTTCTATTCTTCCTCTTTCACAACGTCTCATTTCTGTGGGGATGTAGATGTACCTTTTTTCTTTTAGTTTCTAGTTCACTCAACACATTTGGAACATTTAACACATTATTTAAAAAGCAACAGTTTTATATTGCAGCCATATCAGTAAACATCAAAATAAACTGTAAAGTCTGTGTGCATTAAGCATTTCAGTAACGCAGCTCTATACTGTAGGTCACCAGAGGGCACTGCATTTCACCAACAGTACCTTCATTCAGGCATGCTTCATTCACAGGGTCACTAGTTGCTTTACAACTGATATTTTATTACATAATGTTATATGTGTAATTATATATGGATGATATCAGTAATGTTGAATGTGTTTTATTGTATAAATGTTTTATATATTCACAGTTTCTATAACCATCATGCTCGATGCATTGTCTTAATTTAATATAGATAAATTTTGTGTTAATAATACATTTGATTTGATGCATTTTGATGATAATTTGTTCAGAGAAAAATTTGATTATTTTATCTAGTATTTATCCTCTAATGTACATTATAATCAACTCTGTAAAAATAGGTTTAATTTAATAAGTTACATTTTGAGTGTATTTCAGCACTGCATATTGCACAGCATCAGTAAGAACATTTTTAAAAACAGTAGGGTTGTTTGATGTTAGTACGTTAGTATACATTTTATTTTACTTTACTCAACTTTTATTGTGAACTGTTGTTTTATTGTATCAATCAAACTAGAATAAAAGTCCTAATAAATTGTTCTGTTAAGATCTTAATGTTATTTTATTTGATTTATTTTTAATGTGGACAAATTCATCTCTTCATCACCAGATATTTTGGGTTGTATAATGATTCATAAAACCACGTTATGAAGTTTTATGTGGATTCTGTGACATACATCAAAGCTCTGACAACAAAAAACTACAAACGCCTTAAGTGTTGGATGCAACATGAAGCTCCTCATTTCAACCATAACCTCTGCACACTGCAGACTTCAGGTATGTCAAACACCTACAGCGATGATGTGGCCTTTTTCACCTCATCCGGATTCCAGTCATCTCTGCCGTGATAAACAGCTTTGACGATACATGTCAGAGTAGATCACGTTACATGTAACGTCCTGTACGTATAGACATGTACACTTTGACAGTCCATAAACAAAACAAAGATGACTGACACCGTGGCCTACACTATGAAGATCTAAATCACAGATGTATACACAACCTGATCGGTCATCAGTCAGACATACTTGAAAAGGGTCTACAATTAACTTGTTTAAGAAAACCCTTCTGACATGAAATATCTCAGATCAAGGCCTACACTTCCTCTGACCCAGGCTTTCCTTCCCCTCCCTGTTGATCTCTCATACACTCTTTGAATGCTGTTCCACCATATATAGTTATAGGAGGGGTGTATTAATATAGCATAGGCTATACCATATCTAATTTGAGAACCAGTCTAATCATTCAGCTGCTTTTTCAATGTTATCAATGTATGGAAATACAAGAAAATTAAATGCTTTAAGTGTATGTATGCATTTCCTTTTCAAGTTTGTTATTACCTTAAGCTCAGACTCACAAGGTATCAAATGAGCCTAAATGAGGAAAAGAATGCAAAACAAACTCTTGGATTGCTATAAGTGGACAAGGAAGTGACAGATGGATTAAACAGAGAAGAAAAGGAGAGCGCAAGGAGCAGACAAGTTTGTTTGGCTATTTTGGTCACTCTCAACTGTCCATTGCCCCCGCCTTTCCAAAAGAACCTGTATTAAGCCTCAGATTTCCCTTCATGCGTGTCCCATACCAAACCCTCAATGGGATGCATTGTGTTGATCATCTCAAACTGAAAGAAAAGACGATAATTACGTGGCCATACACAGAGCAGCTTCCCTTGTGCCATCACAAACTGCGTCTCACTGTGACTGCAGAGTAACCGAGCAAGGTCAAAGAGCTCCAGGGAGAGAGAGTGCTGAATTTGGGCATGGCCATGTGGAGGGGTGAGGTGGGTGGGGGTACTTGGACCCAAATCTTATGGTATCACTATACTAGGAAAGGCATTAAAAGCTATTTTTGATTAGGGCTGATTTGGAAAGAGGTGACAAGATGGCAAGGGTTAAGATGCCACAACAGTCTCTTATATATCAGATGGGGGCGTGTACACACATATGAACAAGATAATCATTGGCTCAAAAAATCTCAGGATTTACATCAATCAGTATCTTTTATTGCAACCTCCCCCATCCCAACCCCAGAATTCAGATGTAACAATGAAAACCAAATATTGATCCGCCACTAATCTAAATAGGGGTGGGAGTCGAGTCCCCCAAAGTGTCTATGATTACAACCCATTCTTTTCAAATTGCTTGAGTTATGTGATTGTGTGAAGTTCAAACGGTCCCTTACGTCTCCATGTCCTTATTAGTCTACGTGAGAGACGCAGACTGCTGCCATCAGTATCAGATTCATCCAATTCCAAGACTCCAATAGCTATTTCTGAGAACTGTAAGATGATAGTGCATCCCACCCTATGTTCCTTCATCACTTTACCCCTACCTCATCTCTCTCCCCTTTCATAGTTTTCCCTGTCTCTATTTCTTTCCTCTGTCTTTTTCCCAAGCCACACTTAAGGTTGGATCTATAATTAGCAAGGGGCCTTCAGCAGTATATAAGCCGCCCAGGAACAAGTCACTACACGGCTTCAGTCTTCACTTCTTGAGCTTCTTAGACTTCACACATACCGTCTCAGCATGGTGAGTAACCTGAACCTTAGATGTTACCTGGCCACACCATCTAGGTGGACACATAGGAACCAAGGACATAATGCCTCGGTCTCAGAAGGGTTGAATGGAAGAGAGCTTGCATTTTGAATCAGCGTCTGATTCTTGGATAATTGAACTGTGGACTTATAATAACTTTAACAGGATTTGATAAACTGGGGATGAAGCTGTTCTTTCTGAACCTGTGTTGTTGGAACCAGGACCAGCGGTTATAAACCATTAAACTGAGTGGTTTTGCTTTTTCTTCCCATGAAATATGGGATTTTTTTATTTTTATTTTATTTTATGAAAGATGCCAAATTAAGAAAATATAGAATATTTCAAGTTTCACCAGAAAGCATAATATGCTAACGTAAAGCTAATGAATACGGTTTTATTAATCATTGAGGAGTGTCCTATGCAAAGGTCATTATTTGGATGTATATCACATGTAAAAATGTGTGTTTCATTAGAATGTGGCTGAACGGGGTTTTATTAACAATAAATATGTTAAAATGTCTTATGAATGAGAGTCTTGTGTCTCTAAGCTATGTGTGGCACTGCAATGTGAGTGTCTGATTTTCTGTTTTTCAAATTATGTCATCATGTATTATTGTTAACAACACAGAGGAAATATGCACTATTCAGCTGTACTGAATGTAAAAAAACCCAAATTCTTTCTAGTCACCCAAGAAGGCCAAGAGGAGGGCAGGAGGAGGAGAGGGTTCCTCCAATGTCTTCTCCATGTTTGAGCAGAGCCAGATTCAGGAGTACAAAGAGGTAAATATTTTTTCAGATCTTATAATGTTCACCTGTACTTACACTTTCATTATGGGATTGATTTAATTTTTAACACAATACAACAAGCATACCAATTTACCTGTGTCAGATACATTGGTACTTAATAGACGTCATATTTTTAGGTCATTTATATTGGGAGGAAAATGAATAAATAAATAAATTATATATATATGTGTGTGTGTGTGTGTAGTTACATTCTATCACTTTATTATGTATTATCAAACTCCAAATGAGATTGCTGGGGGTAAATGTTACCAGACATCAGTTCAGTGCAACAAATTACCACTGCGACTTATCACAGAGGTTGCTTCTGAACTGGAATTCTAATGCTAATATAATAAAATTTTGTTATCAGGTCAAAACTTATCTATGTTAAGGCTTGTTTGATGGTCAGTACAGCAACTGGACTGAGTCAGCAGATCAACACCATCTAGTCTTTTTGTCTTGTCTGCTAATATCCCAAAAAAGAGCCGCTTCTCTGCCCTCCCATCTGTCAGGCATTTCTGATCCCAATGGGATGGCAGCTGAAGATCATAGTGCATGCCAGAAGAACAGAAAGAGATCATGTGAAATATATGATGAACAAAATAAAGGAGAAAGGAAAATGGAAATAAAGCATAGTTTAAGGGTAGTTGCAGGAAAGGAACATTAAATGCGTATTAGAATTCTGAGTGGACCTTGAAATGACAGATAATGCACAAAAGACCAGAAAAAAAAACTGATTTACCAGTTGACCATACTTTCGGTTCTTAAACATTGTGATTACTCTAAATTAATATAATTATCTCAGACACTAAGTAAAAAAGTATGTACGTACATGCTAAATGGGTGAGGTGACTGGAATTAGCGTCAGGCTAGTGCGAGTGAGCTAAGTAAGGATGTGAAGTGGTTTGAATGGTTTATTAATAAATGATACAGCCTTCTCAAGCAAACTGTGAATAAAACATCTTTTTGTAATGCTGTGTCTGCTGGCTATGTGTGATAGGCGGGATAAAACGGTCTCATCTGTAATTACAGAGCATAGAGACGGTAATATAAGTTATGGAAGATTACATAAGACTGCAGGTCTATGATGCAGTAAATCACAAGGGTGACCAGCAGTATGAAAACATACTGAGAGCATGATATCTGCTGGACAATGACAGTACTACAACTGCAATAGCATAGCTACTCCGTCACATTCACATCATTCCGATAAGTTTTTTTCCGATAATATTTTCAGCATTAACTGCTCGTTTTCTAATTATTAATGGAGTAAAATGTTCCAATTTGACCAAAAAAGCACTTGTTTAAAACTGTGAATTTCTGATTTAACATTTAAACCAGTAAAATTGGTTTTATACCCTTTTAAATGAATAACTAAGAGCCCAAACTACAAGTTGATGTAGATATTAAAGGTCTTAAACCAAAAACTGATTTGTTTTATTACGTTCTCAAGCATATTTATTTATTGGTTAAGGGTTGTAATGCACACTCAATCAGACAACACAGCAAAATAAAACCCTACCAAGGTTATACAAGACCACCTTGTCAGGGTGTATCGCTTATACGTTACCTTCATTTGACCGAAACAAATCGCGCCATTCCTTGTAGTCTCTGTGCGCGCGCTTGGAGTCAGTTCCATACGAGCAAAAAATTGCTTTAGGCACATTTCCACATAAGGTTAACATTCATAAGGAATTTCTTATTTGAAAAAAAAAAAAAAGGTTTTCGATTAAACAGCACCCAACACCCTTTAGTTACCTGAGGGGGAAAAAACCCTTTGGATATGTATCCAAGCACATGACGCATGAATCACGTAACCCGAACATAACACAAAACCTCACAATTTCGTCGTAAGGTGACTAATTCACTGTATCACAATAGTTCCATGTCACTTAAAATAACTCATTACATTAACAGAAAGAAACACACTCTTGAGGGAGATTTTAATATATTATGATTTATTATTCATCACAACTGCAATTATTAAATACACTGTGAACTTCCTCTTCTGCAGTTTTACAACAACTGTCTTCATCTATGAATTTATTTCATTCTCAACTGTAAATGGTTTCATGTAAACATAAAAACAAGCATGAGACATACAAAGGACAGGATGAGAGAACTAACCTAAACACATTAAAATGAAAATTAAAATGATTTAAAATTAATTTTACAACAATCCTACAACATACATTGGGTCATATTCACCAATGCATAAATCCATAAGACAAATCAAACTACTTTACACCCAGTCCCAGCTGTCTCAAGAGTGTTAGTAAACCAACACTGGATGGCCTTGCATTAATTATTGGTGAGCACAGCGTCCAAACCATTTTAAGTCCACCTGTCGTACCCTTGGTTGGCAATATAGACAAGATGGTGTTAGTGAAGGTGGCCTGACAGGCGCAAAACCAGGTTTATGCTAATGCTTGGAACTTAGAGCAATTCTTCAGGATAATAAGACATCCCACTCCACCTTTCCTTCAACATTTCCAGTGCTGCTGTCAACAGTGAAGGTAGTCTGAGCCCCCTGCTGGCCACAACATAAATGTCAACATCTACATTGTGCCATAGTTAGGACCATAAAATTTGCATAGACATAATTTGCTTGCTTTCCATTTGAACAGTAGTGCCTTTAGAGGAAGCAACGACCACTGAGGTCAGTGAGGGCACCACTGACAGGTGAGGCGGAGGTTTGACCCCCTGCAGTTGAGACTGAACAAGTCCAGGAAACACAGGAGACACCATTAAAACATTGACAGAGAATTTGGCTACCATATTGCAACCTAGAAACCACTTCAGGTCTCTTCTGTCTTGACAGAAAATACTATATATCAAGTAGGAGTTTAGTAAGTATGGTCCAATCACCTGGTGAATGTATCAGAATAATTCATAATACTGAGGGGTCAGTGCATTACGTTGGGAGTTCAATTCGCCAGTGTTCACTTCACATCAAGAGTAACACTGTTTGGGTGAAACTTTTGTTAGGGACTGTATTTTACATGTTTAATTAACACAAAAATGCCTATGCATTATTGCATACATTTTATTGATCCGTTCCTTTTCTCTTTGGGATCACTTGCCCCTTCAATAGGACATAATAATAATAATAATAATAATAATAATAATAATAATAATAAAAGATCAGAATGAAATAATAATCAGTATGAAATCACCATCTCCCATAACACAAATACTGCAGTAATATTAGACAAGCTAGTGATTATAACATGTCTAAAATAAATAACTGCTTGTTTTTGTTCTCCAGGATGTTGGGAGAAAAATGTGCAAAAATAATTTTCAGCGCTTAAAAATAAACGAAAAATAAATCCTGTGATTAAATACATCGCTCTCCTAAAACCAAGCTCACTGCCATTCCAGTCTACCAGGCCTCTGCATACTTGCAGAGAAAAATAAAAAATCTAATTCAAAACAAAACTAATAGTAGCTGTAATAGATAGTATATGGTTTCATCCTATTAAATTAATAGTTTATACATCAAAATATTACAGCTTGAAGTCAAGAGCTTCAAAGGTCAAAGGTTAATGCTACAGTGCTGCACCAAACCCTTCCCATCCAACAAGGCGCAGACTTAAGGAGTCATGTGAGCTGGATTAGCAAGTGCCCTACATTAACAAACCGATCAAGGTTAGTGGTGAAAATCAACAGGCCTCAGTGCATACATTTATTAAAATCCTAGTCTGAACTCTACATCCATATCAACATCAAGATCATCAACATCAAACCACACAGATATCTGGAGTGACTGACACGCTTGGCAGAATTGAACGTTTACTGCACTTTATGTGATGCAATTTATTTGAAAAAGAAGAAAGAAAAACATCAAATAAGCTCTTTGGCGTCAAAAGGACATTTTAGGTGAGGCTGATGTAATGATGGATTGAGAGTCTTAGAGCGGAGAGAGACAGGTACACGAACCATGAACAGTTTTAATTTCCTTTTAGTAATTATGTTGACTTGGATATTCAAATTCTTTTAAAATGGATAGTTAAAAGTGGCTCTTTCCACTGTTTTAAAGGAGAACGTACCTTTCCCCCCCAGTTCAATTTAGCTCCTCCACTCCCCCTAACACTTAATTCCTCTTACAAGAGCGCGACTGTAAGGACGAGCTCCTTTGAGAGATTGAAAAGAGAGAAGAAAGACGAGACCGGTCTGCAGCACGAGACTGTGACACCATTCACTACACTGCCAAGGCACAGACATACAAGAGCACACAAACACACTCTAACAATCAACAGTACAATGAATAAATAGGTCCTCCAGAACACTCAGAGATAAGTTATTACTAGTCACCGCCATGCTTTTCTCGCCACAGAAGAGTTTTATTCAGGTATTCTGGTTGAGACACCTCTCGGGTGATGGGCAGAGGGGGATTGTGGGGCTAGACTGGCACAGATGGCACTAGAGGTCTATGTACACCATGGCACCCAGTACAATAGAATTGACTACTAATTATATGGCTGATCTTATCAATTCAGATATCCACCTTCAAAAAAACTAATAAAAGGCTAAGTAATAAATGCCTTTGCATTTAAGTGCAGATGAGATGATGAGAGACGTGGGGCAGATGCAGTGATCCACTTATTCTTGTGAAATGAGTACTTGAGATGAAATGGACATTCCAGGTGATTCGCTCTCTGTCTCTCTTACTCTTTGCACCAGTCTACAGCCGTTTTGATTCCTTGTCCTCTTTTTTCCGCCATTCTCATGCTTTTCCTCTTGCTGAACGAGAGACGGGGCAGGAATTAGGCCAAATCTTTTGCTGCTGCAGCTCCGTTCTTCTCCTCAGTCTCTCCTCCTCCCCCTTTGTCTTTTTTCTTACCCCCCTTCTCCTTTTTCTTCTCTTTCTCAGCTTTCTCCTTCTTCTTCATCCTTTCTTTATCGGTTTTCTCCTTCTCTTTCTTCTCCTGTGATTTTTGCTTCTCCTCCTCTTTCTCTCGCTTCTTGTCCTCCTTGGTTTTCTTTTTCTTTTTTCCATCTTCCTCCACTGCCGTTTTTGCGGTTTCTGGGCAAGGTGGTAATGGGGCGTTGTTTGCGGTGGGCGATGGGATTGTGGGGGTGATATGTTCAGAGACGACTTTAGGTGACAGCTGGAGCATACGTGTGCTGGACGCGTGTGCAGTTGGAGCCGGTGGTGTGGTAGTAGATGATGTTGTAGCTAGCGGACTGGGCCCATGTGGCACTGGCGGCCGCACACTGGCTCCAGCGTTAGAGGCAGATGGCACAGGAGGTTTTGAGGCCACTGCACTGATGCCGCCCCCAAGGGGCTGCAGTGGGACGATATCCTGGCCCAAGCTGCCAGAAGTGGAGCCCTTCTTGTTCTTTGAGTGGAATGGCATCTTGGACTTTCTAAGACCAGAAAGTGACAGGAGGCTTGATGATGCACGTAAGGGTCCAGGGGGAGGGACATGACCGCCCAGGAACAACAGGCTGCCACCAGAACTGATTGCAGCAGCCCGGTGTTTCTGCTCGAAGATGGCCCGTGTTCCGTGTAAACGGCGACCCGGTTGGTGAGTCAACTCTCCACGAGATTCCCGCCACTTGCGCACCTGAATACTGCACTCCCTCTCAATGAGGGCCTCCGTCACAGACAGAGTGATCACCTGAAAACAGAGTAGAGAGTAAGAGGAAGGATAAGGCATATTCTACTGCTACTTCTCTATTGCGTGTTCTCTCGTAAGAGCACGCACCTCTTGCACCAGAACTTCCTCCCTGATAGCTTCAGGTGGGATGTTCCTCAGTCGCTCCATGGTCTCGTACATGCCCTGTATCTCACGGAGCTTATCCACAGACCCCAACATCTGCTTGAGTAACACCAGACCCACCCTGAACACAATCTTCACTCCTGACAAACAACGCGGAAAAAAAAAAATACAACTTTAACTGTAAAGGGGTCATATGATGCGATTTCAATTTTTCCTTTCTCTTTGGAGTGTTACAAGCTCTTGGTGCATAAAGAAGATTTGTAAAGTTGCAAAGACTAAAGTCTCAAATCCAAAGAGATATTCTTTATAAAAGTTAAGAGTCAGCCATGCCTACCTAAAACGGCTCGTTCTAACACACCCCCACATACCTACGTCGCTATGTGGGAAGATTTGCATAACGCCGCCCAAATGTTCACGCAAAGAAAGAAGGTGTAACTTTTATTCTCGCTGTAGTATTGTTGTTGCCGCCGCCGCCATGTCGTGAAGACGCTGTGTGTTTCGTTGTGAGAGCGAAACTACTTTGTTTGGCCTTCCAAAAGAGGACGATATCTGCTTCGTCATGCTTGGAGCTGATCCGTGCTGGTCGCTGAGGAAATACATCAACTTTGTGCTGTGGATCACCGGATCGGCTTTCACCGTGGACGAAGCGGAGTCCAGCCTGCCGCCTCTGCTCACTCAGCCCTCCGGCCATTCCTCACTCTAGGCCGCCGCCACTCACTCAAGGCCGCGGTGTGTGACGCTGTGTTTCATTGTGAAAGCGAAACTACTTTGTTTGGCCTTCCAAAAATGGACACGACTAGAAAACTGCGATAAGCGATATTATTGACCATTTTATGCCACTGAATATATAATCATAATGTAACGGCATAATAATGCAAGAAGGCCTACACACTTCCAAATGACAACAAATGTTTAATTTTTAAGAATATTTAGATCATGGAAATTATAAAAATATTAGATACCTTAAAAAACCTGAATAAATAGTAAATAAACATTTTCTAACAAAAAGTGCAAAGTAACAAGTAGAAAAAAAGAAAAATGCACAAAGAACTTGTATGGAGATTTTTCCATCTACAGATTTTCCCCTGACCTTCTTTTCACTGTAAATTAAGGGTACACACTATTGCTGAAAAACACAAAGGCACAGATCCCTAAACAAGACCATATCTGCAGATGAAACTTTTTTGTAGAAGCATTTTTTACATTTGAACTAGCACCTCATGACTACACCACGTTATGTTCGAGAAGCTGCTAAAGACACAGGCGCAAATAGAATGTAATTTTTAAGTAAATATAATGGGCGATGTGTCAATACTAGATGCAGATTGCTGCAATATAAATGGCTCATGAGGATATATATTACCCCGGTTAAATTACATATGTTTAATCCAAATATTCCTGACAGTTGCTTAAAATGTAAACAAGAAATTGGAACCCTTTACCACTGCATGTGGGAGTGTATTGAGATTCAAAAATTTTGGAAGAATACTCTTGTTATGATTGGTAAATTGACTGAAGAAAATGTTCCTTGTGATCCCAAATTCTGTTTATTTCATATATACCCAGTAAATTGTGGTGAACACCAATAAACGCAAACTAATTGACTTTAAATAGTTTTTCTTAATATTGTTCTTTTTAGCAACATCATATGACCCCTTTAAAGAATTACATATACCAAAAAAGTACGCACATTTTACATGCAAGTATGTCAGAGTTTAAAAGTTCATTTATAATGTCACAAAAGATTTCTATTTCAAATAAATGTTGTTCTGAACTTTATTTCATTTTCTATTTCTTTTCATAGAATCCTGGAAAAAATGCATCACGGTTTCCAGAAAAATATTTATAATAACTGTTTCTTGAGCATCAAATCAGCATATTAGAATGAATAAAAGATCATGGGACACCGAAGACAGGAGTAATTGCTGCTGAAAATTCAGCTGTCATCACAGGAATAAATTACTTATAATAAATTAATTTACAGGAATAAACAGACAAAAATAAATGGTTATTTTAAATTGTAATAATATTTCACAACATTTTAGCTCAAATAAATGCAGCCTTTGTACGCATAAAAGATTTCTGTCAAAACCTTTAAAAAAAACATTACCATTATATTAAATTATTTCAAATTTGAAGTCATGTTTAATTTAAACCGATAAATAATTTGCACAAACATAACAATTTTTAACTCCATACAGTAAAAGCATCACTTATCACAGGTGCTTTTATTCTCTAATGTGTATGACTGACCTTCACAGAAGAACATGTCCCAGACACGCAGGACACAAGACCAAGGCAGCGTACGGGAGAAAATGCACATAAACCACTCTGTCATGTACAAGATGGGGTCGATCTTAAATTTCTTCAGGTGACGGTAAGCCATGGGACAAACTCTCCTCAGAAGAGAGAAAAAAATATCTCCGTCCAGCTGAATAACACACACACACACACACACACAGAGAGAGACACACTGATTAATGGAAGTCTGGACAATAAAAAATGCTGATATTTATTTCTGTGGTATGTATATATAAAAACGATTATTATTTTTAATTAGTGTTCTGTTTGAATTGCAAGATATAATTTGCTTAGATATTAGGCATAGATATATCCCCCAATATATAAATAGGGTTGGGTATCGTTTGGGTTTTTTTCGATACCGGTGCCAAATCGATACTTTTAAAACAGTTCGATACTGAACCGATACTTATAAAAAAATAAATAAAGAAAAATTCCCCCAAAAATTATGGATTGGCCATTAGCACTATAAACACATGATGTCTGTTTCATTCATACTGGATGCCAGAGGGCGCCCTCGCACAGAAAATCCACATATCCAGTCACAGAAGTAGCAGAACTCGTGACCCTCCAGGAAATACCTTATTTGGACAAAGGCATTTCTATTATAGCTGTAACTGAGTAAACAGAACATATAAACGTTTTGAATGATAAAACAAAGACAGTAAACACACGACTGCGACAATATAGTTTGTGTTATTCAAGCCATCTCTGGTATTTTCATAACAATTAAGTATATTTATAATCCATTGCTAATCGATGTATTCTTTTAAAATTAGCCTATGGAATATATTTTCTGCCTCATCAGGGCTGTACGTTAACTTTTTTTTCACATAGCACTGGTGCTACAGAGGTTGAAAGTTTTGTAGCACAGGCGGTGATGATGCTTCTTACGTTCGTTTCGGAGAACCAGAGGACAAATATTTAAATCGATCGCTCAGGCATGGCACCGAAATGTGCGTTCTGATTCGGTTCTAGTACATACTGGTTACATAGGTACCGGTGCCATATTGGAACCGGGTTTTGGTACCCAACCCTATATATAAAAGAAAAAATGAGAAGCAGAGGTGAAGTAAAAGTGTGGGAAGTATAAAACTGAGGCTATCTGGTATCAATATGCACACTATGCAGTGAATACAGACTAATAGACTAAAAAACAAAGAAGGAAAAAATCTCTTCCTTCAGTTTCTCAGATTGTGCAATGCTCGAAATAAAAGCCTTACATCACCCTTTCCCTTGATAAAACCCTCATCTGCATTTACCCATGTCCTCCCCGAGCAGCAAACATCTCGTGGAATGGGAACTGCCTGTGCAAGTCCTTCTCTATGATGTCCAACCACTTCGGATCTCCCTGGTCTTTCTCCAATTCCTGAGAGAAAAGAAAAGTGTAAAATAAGAAAAGAAGAGTGTGTTGAGCAGATAAACTGAGATTTACATGACATGCTAAGTAAGCACAAGAACATTTAAAAGTGAGACAGAGCTCCAGATTGTATGACTATTATTCTTGACAGTGCAACAAAGTGTTGTTATTGGTCACTGCTTTACAGCAACAGCATATGAACTTGGGAGAAGTCGATTTAGCACCATGACTGTTTTCACAGAAGACGTATCAAACCTGACCGTACCTCAAACTTTCCAGGATTGGACTCAAGGAGCTCCTGGCTGTTGGAGAGCAGCTGCCAGGCTTTACATCTGAGTGAGGAGGGGATTCCTTTCCTGCAGCGCACTTTCACCTGCATCACAAAGAAAACATAACTCAGCATGTATAAACCTTCATAGGCACAGCATTTTCTATTCCTAGTCAGTAATGCCTTCCGTGACCCTTTAAGTGAGAAACAGACCTTTGGAAAGCGTCGAGATATCCATTTGTCCCAGTTTCTGAACATGTCCAACCATTTCATCTCTCTCTGCCTTGCCACGGCCACAGCGATGTCCGCCTCACTACAACACAGAGAGGGATTCACAAACACAAACCACACACAACAAATAAACCTATAAACACCCACCCAGACACCCAGCACCCTGAGATAATGTTGAGCTTCTGACAAATGTCTCAAATCCTGAGAGGGTTTATATTGAATCTAAGAGAACAGACACCTTTAAAACTAACCAGAAACTAATCAGAAACCCCTGAAATCTTGTTATTGGTGAATTAATAATGACAAAGAGTTTTGTACCAAGTTAACAAATATAACACTGCACAGTAGTGATACCAGACCAGAAGCGACTGACACCAGAGATAGAAACTCCAGTCTGAGGCTCGGATTTGAGTCCTACTTAAAGGCGAAGTATGCAATTTCTGCACCACCAAACAGAATTGTAAAAATAATAATGTTTTATAATGACAGACACTGTCATTCTAGTCTATCATTGTTAAAAACGATAGTAAGCCAATGTCGTTATTTGTGCTGGTCGTGATGCTCAGACACACAGTGCACAGTTTTAAATAGCAGCACAAAGCCAATATTTGCACTATTCGGGAAACCTTTTAGAAAAAAAAAAATGTCTTGACTTAAGTTAACGTCAGCCTTCACTTGAATTCTAAAGTACTAGAAATCAGAAAACGTTGTGAACAAGTCAGTAGCTTACAGGCAAGAAATTATGTCTCTGAAAATAGCTACACTGTTTAGATGTACTGAATTTAATACAACTAATAAAAATTAGTGATATCTTCTGATATGAAGTAACAAATCTGAAATCGGACATATTTCTATACCTGTTTGACAAACAAGGAAATACCCTAAAATAATAAAGCAATAAGCCCCGTGAAGCCATGGTTTACAGTGAATTTATAACAGCGAAGGGGCGTTGTTAGGCACGACGTGAAGCGGAAATTCACTGTAAACCACAGCTTCACGGGGCTTATTGCTTTCATAAAACAGTTATTCCATATACGTAGTAAGGTTTCACAAAATAAAACAGAGCAAATAAAGTGTAATGATATAAATAAAAACAGTATTCTTCCACCAAACAATGCAGTTCCTCAGAATCAGTTGTGGTTGCAACAAAGTGGTTGCCGAGCAACACACAAATGTAAACAAAGGTGTATGTTTGTAGAGTAATTTACAACAGCTTCGAACGTGGCTCAGTCAATCAGAATCAAGGACCGGAACTATTAGTTTTATAATATTTATTTTTTAAATATAAAAAATAATTATAATATTTTTTAAAAAACAAATCTGTAGCAAATATGAGACTTTTTGTAAATAGGCTTTGAGATTTTTTTTGCCTTGAAACTTCACAAGATGCCACATCAGGTACTTGTGAACTTGTCTGATTGACACAATGGCTTACAAACAAAAATAGCAGAAAACTAAATCTGACAAACAGCACGCCAACCATATGAGAAAGTCTAATTTAAGACTAACCCACATCGACCAATTTTAAATAGTCGAAAAAGCATGTGGTGGTTAATAAGTTCATGCTGAACAGGAATAAAAATAAGGAAACGTCCAAATGTAAACGATAGTGTTAGTGCCCATTTTAGCAGAATTAGTCAGTACTAGAGATAAAGCAGAGACAGTCGGGGGAAGAGAGAGACAAAAAGAGAGACAGTCAGTGCACTCTGACTCAGACAAGCCCTCTCATCACGATCTGAGTCACTCACAACAAACACATAAAGGACACAGAGAGGGAGCAAGAGAGATGGACACAGGAAAAATGCACGAAATGCTCATCCTGCTCTTGGTTGTAGGCATGAATTATTAATATCCCAGCAGCACTCTTCACATCAGGTGCTGCCAATTACCCTACCATTCACATCCATTATAAATGCTTACTCTGATTTATCAAACCAAGGAATGAACTAGAGCCATACCCTAGAATGTGAATAATTAAATAATACAAAATATATCAGTTTCAATTTAAACTATATATATAAAAATTTCAATTATATAAATAATGAACCTCAAACACAACTACGGTCAATCAAATCGTTTCTTAATCTTTATGGGGCTGG